TATAAATTAAAAGCTAACTCTAAGTTTGTTTCACTTAAAGCTACTAGTTGTTTTCGTCATAATTATGTGATGGCCGCGCAAATTACTAGAAACTTCAAATTTTACGGAATTTTACGAAAAAAAATTATTTACTCTCAATCCTGTTTCTTGTTTTCCCTATACTTGCACAATAACGCACATTTCCACCAGAAATACACATAGTTTGCACTAGGATTCCGGAATAAAAACTGTTAATCAACAAAAGACTAGATAAAAAAAAAAGAGATTTACTTGTATATCTCAGCTAATCATCATAAAGCAAAAAAACCTTGTCTTGTCATTTTGTTTTAAAGAATAAAAAACTACAAGAACAAAATCAAAGACAGGCGAAAAATTATAAGAAATGAATGACATAGGTGGAATGTAATGTAATAAACTGACTCTTATAATAAGCTTACTGTCTAAACCCGCTTTAAAAAAGATAGAAATCTATTAATTTTAGATAATATTATTTTATATGACATCAGTTTTTTACAAAAATATTTTTTTCCAATAATGTAATATAAGTTTAGTGAAATCATAAATATATATAGTTAACCTTACTTCCTTGACAAGTAAACTGTTTTCTCACTTTTCGACAATTATTAAGTACTATTTTTTAAAAGTATTTCTTTTATTCATATTATTTCCTATTTCAAGAGAAACGGATATATATACTTGCCTTCAATTGTGCTTATTTCACTGGGAAAAATTAGAAATTCTTTTACCAACATCTCAGAAATAGTAATTTAATAATTTCTGCGAGTGCGTGTGTTTTGTATTTTGAACATTCGTTATAAGAGATATGTTTAGATTTTCAATAAGTTACCATAAAATAAATTCGAAGGTTTAATAAAAGCATTCAAAATATGTGTAATAATTCCACATTCACACATCATACAACAGAGAACAACACACCGAGAGAAACATTCATGCCCAAAGCGAGATTCGAACCCGCAACCATTGGCTTCAGAGTCAAGCACGCTGACCGCTCGGCAATCTGGTCGTCACGTTATATATAACAAGGGATCGCATAAATGTTGTGACAAGAAGTTCTAGGGGATTTAGAGCATATCATCAGGACTAAAATTGCAAAATTGCATAGGAACCCATAGGCCACTAGGGGTGCTTCCCCAGTGATGAACTGTTTCTTCGTGTGAACAGGTCATCATAGGGAACACTATCGTTGTACTACATTTCCGAGCATGGGTTCCTATGCAATTTTAATTCTGATGATGAACACGAACTCCCCTAGAAGTTTTTCGCAACATTTTCGCGACCCCATGTTAGGTATAATATTTTTAAACTTGTACATTTCGACAAAAAATAAACTACTAAAGATGTCATTCATAAAAAATATATAACTTATTAGGAGTAAAACTAATTTCAGATTTATGATTTTCACATTCAAATTAGGCAAGATCAAATATTGTCTAAATACAACAAAAAATTTATTCCCCAGTGTTATCGTTTAAGGAACCAGATATATTTGACAACACAAAGTTAGTTTTTTAAGCAAATCTTCTGTTTTTGCTTTATTAAAACTTGATTGCAATTTCTTAAAGTGAAATTCGTTAAATGGTAAGTATATAAATGTAATTTTGTAAAATGGTAAGTATACTGCTGTCATAAGGTAATTTCTACAATTAGAAAGAAGTAAAGCCTTCTACGACAGCATTTCTTTAACTGATTTTATATTGTAGTCCACACTGTAATTAAATGTACTCTATGTTTACACTGTTAAAATTCCGGATAAAATTACAGTAAAAAGTACTGGTACCCTGAAAGAAGCATCTGAAAGTTCCATTTTACAGTAAAATATATTTTTACAGTGAAATTTTATATCATAACTCTTACAGTAATATTGATTTAATTATAATGAATAAGTGATTTTACAAACAATATTACTACAAAAAAATATGGTATATCAGATTTTTTATTCTGCTCCATAAAATTTTACGATAAAAATAGATATTACATTAAAAGTACCGGCAGTTAGGGTGTCAGCACATTTTACCATAATTTTATTCACAATTTATTGCACTGTAATCGATTAATTTATCTTTCAAAACCTCATTTGTATGTACAGTGCGCAAAGAAGAAAAGAAAAAAAAAAAAAAACGGACATCCCTCAATAACTTTTGATCTAATGATCGGATCTTCAAGTTACAGGACTCAATCTTAAAGGCATGAGAGGGTGACCTCAACTATGCTAATTACTTAATATAGACGATGTTTTAAGTTACGAAATCAGATACAAAGCCGTACTTTCTCTGAATAAGCATACGTTTTTGATCGGATTTCCGTTTTTGACCCGCAAGATATAGGGGGTAGCTGCGATCTAGGAAATATGGACCCAATAGTTTGGCCAGGAGAGCTGTCCAAAGTTTGGACTCCTTAACCTTAATTTCTTTGCATGTTTCACCCTATTTCGAGAACTTTTAAAGCGAGCTGAAAAATTTTTGCACACAATTATAAAACTTGGCTAGCTAAAGATAATTAAATCAACGTAAGAAGAAAAGTTTTAGTAAATATTTATCTTTTTTTATATTTAATTATAGTCGAAGAAATTTTTAATAGTTAGGTATACAATCTTCGTACGTTATTTCAAAGAATTTAATTTTCAATTGCAAAATATAAGTTTGAGTGAAATCGGTTGAATAGTTTTTGAGAAATCGAATTTTAAAAAAAGGCGCATATTTAAAATTCGATTTCTCAGAAACTATTCAACCTATTTCGCTCAAAGTTTGTATTTTGCCATGCAAAATTAGGTATTTTGAAGTGATGTAAAAAATTGTGTACCTTATAATTCAAAATAATTTTGATTATTATTAAATAAAATAATAAAAATAATAAATATTTACAAAAATTTATCTCTTACATGGAATTACTTTTGGATAAATGAATTTTATAATTGCGTGCAAAAAATTTTCCTTTCACTTATAAACTTCTTGAGATATGGTGCAATAAGCGTAAAATTTAATTAATATTATGGGATCCAAACTTTGGATCGTTCTCCTGACCAAACTATGGGTACCATATTTCCCAAATTGTTGCTACCCCCTACATTTTTGGGGGTCAAAAGTCTTAATCCGTTGAAAAAATGGTATGTTTAGTCAGAAAAAGTACGTTTTTGTGTCTGATTTTACAACTTAAAATATCGTCTGCTTAAATTAATATTTGAGGTCTCCCCCTCGAACCATTAAGATTGAGCCCTAAAACGTGAAAATCCGAGCATTTGATCAAAAGTTATTAAAGATTGTTTTTTTTTCTTGATGCATTGTATCTACATGATTTTTTTAAACTTGTAATGCTTTGAGTAGAATTCAAAACTTTTAAATCAAGTACTCTTAGATGTATAACAATTCTTATACATATAAGAGCACTTGATTTAAAAGTTTTGAATTCTACTTTTTTTTTCTTGATGCATTGTATCTACATGATTATTTTAAACTTGTAATACTTTGAGTAGAATTCAAAACTTTTAAATCAAGTGCTCTTATATGTATAACAATTCTAATAAATTTTTAACGTAAAGTTGGGTTTGCAATTACGGTATTTACCATGTTAGAATATAAAAAAAAAGTTAAAGTTTTATTTACTTTTTTGGATATTCTGCTAGGACGAATATTGAAACTGAAGATATATAATGATTTCTGTCAGAAAGTAAGTAAAATTTTTCATATCGGTTTAGTCTTTTCCTCTTCTGCAATACACTAAATATAGAGTCAGGTATGTAGTTTCTACTTTTTTCAAATCAAATAGATATTACAAACTTTCAGCTTTGCTTGCGTCCTATGACAGTTTGTTCAACTATGCGTATAGGTTATTTAAGATGGTATTTATTGGAACTGAAATAGTTTTTTCGATTTTTTCAGAAAATAGAAGTCATTTCTTTGGCACTTAAAAGCCTTTAATAGCACAAATTGCCTATATGGCTACATGCATTAAGATGTGTATATATTACGTTTTTGTAAAATATAGTAGTTCATTTTGATGTCTGCATATAATGCACAACGTTCTTTATATTTTATCCAGACGCGTTTAGATATGATATATTTTCTTCAGAATATATAAGTCTGCATATTTTCTTCTTTTTAGAACTGATAGTATTTATCTAAGGGAAAGTGTCTTCGTTTTATTTCCTATCTACTCTGTTCTTTGCTTCTTTTTCGGACTTTCGTTTTCTTTATTTCTTAAATTCTTTACTGAATTCAGTTGTAAGGTCAAATTGCAGATTCTTGCTGTTTTTTTTTAAAATTAATAAAATAGAAAATAATAGGTGAAGTTTTTTTTTAGAAAAAAAGAAAGTTTTTTTAAACTATTAAACATAGAAATATATAGTTATTCTCCATAAATTTATTACTTCAAAAATAATCAATGAAAAAGATTTATTAGTGTACAATTTTAAATCCTAATCCTGTATCTTTTCAAACAATATTCATTAAAACTTGATTAACCAAGAAATTCGAGCAACTTCTGCCCCGAACTGACGAAGCTATGTTTGAGTTATAATTAACAGAAATTGCTTAAACTAACAATAAAAGAAGAAAACACGATTCCCATGAGAAAAAAGATTACGATAAAATAATACCAGTTTTCAAGAAAAAATATTTAAAACGGGAATTTAAACGTTTCTTTAATCGAAAGCAAAGATTCTCTTAGAAATGATACAATCTTAAAAATAATAATAAAAACGTTGCTGACTTCATAATTTTCTTAGTTTTGAGTAATCATTTTAACTATACTTTTGAGAAGCAATTTTAAATACATTTCTTGCAATTTTGAATAATTTCCCAAATAAGCTTAAGAAATAAAAACTCATTATACCCAACTTTACGATTCAATTTATTTGAATTGTTAACTTTTGGAACTATAAATAATGATTGTTTCGTCTTATTGCTACAAATTAAGAAGTATATTTTTGTTAAAATTTTAGTATAGACTATTTGAGTCTACATATATTTTCATCTTTATTTCAGGTTCTTTCTGCGGTATCTTAATGGCGTCGAATTGGTAAATAACTTCTCGTAGCCAGCATGAGTTTAGGATAAGAAGTTTTCTTATAACATGACATTCTTAGACATTCTCTAAAAAGACATTACAGGCATTCTATTTCGTTTTTTACATTAAAGACTTGTGAATTTCAGAACTCAATTTAAACTTTTCAACTCAAAGTGAGAAAAAAAACCATCATTTAATTAAATGTCTATAAAATCTTATTATGGAATTAAGGCTGTGAAAGAAGCCTAAATAAAAGGCAATTAAAACTCTTGCTGATATACATCAAAATTGTAACTTTCCCGTAAATAAATGATTATTCAATGACAAGCGTTTAGATACGTTGAACGAAAAAAACGTAAGTAGTTTTCTCATTTCACTTTTAAGATTAATTTGGAGTTATCGGACCCTAAGGAGCAAGTGAATTATGGAGCGTCTGATATCGGCAAATTTTTCTGATAACTTTACAGACTTCATGGAATTCCCAATGGGCAATGAGACTCTTTTTCCTATTCTGTATGAAGATCACGTAGCAAATTTAAGTAGAGACAGTGATATATCAAAACACGAAATGTTGCTTATCTACGATAACTCAACCAATTCTTCCGAAGCATATTGGTTTGATGGAAATCTAACCAACTTTTCACTTCCGTTAGGAAACTTTACGAACGTAAAAAATGATACTTCATCTTCTTTGTCAGATATGGTTAAAGCAGTTATTATAACTGGTTTATTGAGCTCAACTACAATGGCGACTATAGTAGGTAATCTTTTTGTCATATTTGCGATTCTGATGGACCGTAATCTTCAGACAGTTGGGAATTATTTAGTTCTTTCATTGGCTGTGGCTGATTTAATGGTTGCTCTTCTGGTTATGCCTATGGGTGCTATATATGAAGTGTATCAAGAGTGGATTCTAGGACCAGTATTGTGTGAAATATGGACCTCGGCGGATGTTCTTTGCTGCACTGCATCTATATTGCATCTTGTAGCAATTGCTACGGACAGATATTGGGCAGTAACAAATGTTGATTACGTAAGACAAAGAAGCAGTAATAAAATAGGACTTATGATTTTCCTTGTTTGGGCTGTAGGTTTCTTAGTTTCATTTGCTCCCATACTTGGCTGGAAGGACGACAATTTCTTGTTCAGAATTGAGGAAGAAAAAAGGTAAGACAAGTTTTTTTCAAATTTCAATACCTAACTCATGATTTTTTTATTAATGCATGAATAAAAAAAATGGTATTTAAGATCTATTGGAAAAATTAAGGTATATGGTTTGCTGTGTTAAATCTATACTATTTATCGACTTAACTGTAGAAATTACACTGCTCCAAATGAAAAATATCTTTCAGATAGAAATTTGTTTTTCTTGTGAATGTTTGGCTGAAAATAACGAATGCTTAGTCACTTTCTGTTTATCGTGCAAAATTTTTCCAAAACTCTAACTTTTAGCTTAACGATTTTGCGTATTTTAACAGCACACAATACCAATGAGGTGCAAAAAGATACAGATCTTCGGCTCGTAATGAAAACATTGTATCATATTTCATTTAAATAAAATTAAGCATGTATTGAAAAGAACTTTAGAGTTTAATTATTTTTTTTTTTTGCATGAAAAAAATTTTGTTTTTTTTGTTATGTCACATACACACATCAGTTCGTATCATACTTTATTTAAATAAAATTAAGCATGTATTAAAAAAATTTTGGAGTTTAATTATTTTTTTTAATTTGTATGAAAAAAATTTATTTTTTTTGTTATGTCACACACACACATCAGTTCGTATCATACTTAAATTGTAATAAAATTAAGCATGTATTAAAAAGAATTTTAGAGTTTAATTATTCCTTTTATTTTGTATGAAAAAAATGTTTTTTTTTTGCTATGTCACATACACACATCAGTTCGTATCATACTTTATTTAAATAAAATTAAGCATGTATTAAAAAGAATTTTAGAGTTTAATTTTTTTTTTCATTTTGTATGAAAAAAATTTATTTTTTTTTGTTATATCACATACACACATCAGTTCGTATCATGCTTTATTTAAATAAAATTAAGCATGTATTAAAAAGAATTTTAGAGTTTAATTATTCTTTTTATTTTGTATGAAAAAAATGTATTTTTTTTTGTTATGTCACCTACACACATCAGTTCGTATCATACTTTATTTAAATAAAATTAAGCATGTATTAAAAGAATTTTAGAGTTTAATTATTTTTTTTATTTTGCATGAAAAAAATTTATTTTTTTTTTGTTATGTCACATACACACATCAGTTCGTATCATACTTTATTCAAATAAAATTAAGCATGTATTAAAAGAATTTTAGAGTTTAATTATTTTTTGTTATTTTGTATGAAAAAAAAGTATTTTTTTTCGTTATGTCACATACACACATCAGTTCGTATCATTCTTTATTTAAATAAAATTAAGCATGTATTAAAAAGAATTTTAGAGTTCAATTATTCTTTTTATTTTGCATGAAAAAAATGTATTTTTTTTTTTTTTGTTATGTCACATACACACATCAGTTCGTATCATACTTTATTTAAATAAAATTAAGCATGTATTAAAAAGAATTTTAGAGTTTGATTATTTTTTTTATTTTGTATGAAAAAAAATTTATTTTTTTTTTGTTATGTCACATACACGCATCAGTTCGTATCATACTTTATTTAAATAAAATTAAGCACGTATTAAAAAAAATTTTAGAGTTTAATTATTTTTTTTATTTCGTATGAAATAATGTTTTTTTTTTGTAGTTATGGCATATACACACATCAGTTCATGATATCATTAACTTTTAAAAATACAACTATTTGAATAAACATTTTGTGAAATGCAAATAAATTAAAAAATAAATTAAAAAATTTAATAACAAATTGTTTTAATGAATTTGAATCAGTATAATCTTAAATTTTTCAATTTCCATTAAGTGTATTTAATCGTTAACATTTTGATAGCACTTGTACTTTTGCTTTCCATGTTTCATTTTTCAAAGTAAAAATTTTTTCTTTTGCTTTACAAACTTAATACTTTTACTCGTCATTACTTTTTTAAAGCAACCTTCCCACTGATAACAAAGAACTACTAACAAAATCACGACTAGTAAAATAAGAAAATTAATAAAGTTACCAATCAAATAACAAACAAAATTAAGCATACACTAAAAAAAATAGTAAATGACGTAAAGGTGAGAAATATGAAGGCAAGGAACGAGTGATAATAGAAATAATATATATATATATATATTCTAANGCAAACTTAAAAATTCCAAAAAAAACTAGTCAATTAAAATTATCAGAGAATGTTTTTTTTCCAAACTATTTATTAATGTCTATATATATATATATATAAAAATATGTATAAAATTTGAATTCTTATGGATTAGATTTAAACAAAATTTATTTTTCAATGAATTATATGATGAAATTCATATTTTTTCGAATATTTTATATATGGTTATTAGATTCTCTTGTACATGATATATCATATATTCCAAAGGTTTTAAATGTTTTCTGTTATCTACTGAAAGTTTTTTTCCAGTGAGATCAAGTTCTTTTTTAAGTAATTCTTTTAGTAATATTTGAAAAATAAGCCAATCACTACTGAGTAATTGACATAACAAAGAAAAATTCAAAGAAAATGTATCTTTTTTCACTCATTATCTCACTCATCTTCACTCTTCACTCATTCATCGTGAAGATCATCATTTCAAGGAATCACCACATCTATACATTTAACAAATCCTCAATGTTATGTAATCTAAACTCTTTTCTTGAGTGATTTCAAATTTAGACTGATCTCCACATACCAAAATATTAAACAAAGCCAACTTTGTTTGAGAAATTTATTCAAATAATAAATTAATTGCACAAAACCATGCACATTACACGTGTGACTGATTATTACCAATGACCGACACCTAATTCATATCTTTAATTTAAACAAATATTATTTTCGAAATGATGTTTGAAAAGTGTTGTTTTTATAAACATCAAAATTCAAAAATTCTAAAGAAAAGTACTAATTGATTACAAACGTTATTTCTTTTGATTTTCAATAAAAATTATTTTAAAAAAATCATGTTCATTTGTTTAACAATTTATACATTGAACATTAGAGAAAGCACTATTTTTTACATTTTCTACAGTACTTTTTACATTATCCTACCATTCATCCATAAAATCAATAGGGGCTATTTTAAACAGGTATTTTTTGCTTTCTCTTGTTCTATATTGATCATTCTTTAGCTTCCTTGCACTGAACTAAGAGGAACTCCTTTTCATAAATCACAATGAATTTGTAAAATTATAAGAAATATTCAAATTTGCATACAGGGTTTCAGCTACTGTATTGTACTAATTATGTACAAAGTCAACGTAGTAAAATGAGTTTCATTGAAAAATCAATAAAAACAGTGAAAGTGCAATTAATTATTCCTGGAGCAACATCTACTAGAAGGGAATAACAAAAAGTCATATTCCAGATATGGATACTTCTAACAACTCTGCATGCATAATGCAATAATAATAATTAGAATATTGTGTTAATGAATAAATTTATGTTATTTTACATACTTTTATTGACTAAAAACCATGAATCATTTGTACATATGAGAGATTTAATTGTTTGGGTTTCGATGAGCTTCTCTCGATTACCGACAGCTGTAATTCGACTTCAAGCTTGAAGCATTTAATCAGAAATTGAGGAAAATAATAGAGATCAGTAAATGGACCATAGTGGAGGCACAGAAAAGGCATTTAATTTTTTTCTGCTGTGAAATGAAGCAGCCTATTTTAAAACTATTAATCATTAGGAATTAAAAGTGATTTAATTTTTTGAGTTTCGGTGAGATTCTCTCGACTACCGACAGCTGTAATTCGACTTCAAGCTTGAAGCATTTAATCAGAAATTTAGGAAAATAATAGAGATCAGTATATGGACCATAGTGGAGGCACAGAAAAGGCATTCAATTTTTTTCTGTTGTGAAATGAAACAACATATTTTAAAAGCATTACTCATTAGGAATTGTAAGTGATTTAATTTTTTGAGTTTCGGTGAGATTCTCTCGACTACCGACACTTGTAATTCGACTTCAAGCTTGAATCATTTAATCAGAAATTTAGGAAAATAAGTCAGTAAATGGGCCAGTCAGTAAATGGGAAATCAGTAAATGGGCCATAGTAGAGGCACAAAAAAGGCATTCAATTTTTTTTTCTGCTGTGAAATGTGAGAACATATTTCAAAATCGTTAACCATTAGTAATTATGAGTGATTTAGTTTTTTGGGATTCGGTTAGCTTCTCTCGACTAAAAACCGCTGTAGTTTGGCTTCAAGCTTGTTGTATATATAATTTAGCTATTAATAAAGTAAAGGTATGTTAAGTAATTGAATATTTCGGAAGTAGTACACAACACAACAAAAACTGAAATAAATTCGATTAAAAAATATCCACCTTTTGAAGAAATATTTTTCTTGTGCTGTCTAAATACATTTTCAAACACATAAAAAAAATTGGCAATAAGCCTTTATAACCAGCAATTTTGGATGAATAATTTAACTATTAAGGAATTTCGTAAAATACAAAAAAAATGGTATTTTAAAATGCAATCATTTTAGGTGAAGTCTAAGTTCACTTTAGAAACCATAACAAATCTACAAAACAAATAAACCTTTATACCCAATAATGTAGCATGAATAATTTAACTACTTTTAAATTTCATAACAACACCAAAATAGTTCTTTAAAGGCATTCATTTTAGGCAAAATCTAAATGCGTTTTTAAATCCGAAGCTTTCTTACTTTTCTATATGTTTTAACATTACAGTTACTGGAGTGATTTAAACTATTTATAAATTGCATAATAACACTACAAAAGTATTTCAAAATACATCGATCCGATGTTATTTTCAAAAAATTCAAATAAGAATGAATATTTCATATCAAATCAAAAAAGTGAGTTTAGGATGCAAATTCAAAAAATATATTCCCACAGTTGTTTTTAAAGAAAAAATAAAATTCTATCATCTCTTCCTCATAAGCAAGTTGCCCGAAAGCTACTAAAATATTTCTTTCCAGAAAGTTTCAGGTCTATAAAAATGAAGCTTAAAATTTTAAAACTAATGTTGAAAATAAACTATCAGTGCTTGGAGCTTGTATT